GTTGCTTGGCTACAAACCAGAAGATGTGTACAACGCAGATGAGAGTGGACTTTTTTTTCGCGCATTGCCCGACAAAACTCTGTCCTTTAAAGGAGAAACATGTGTGGGTGGAAAGTTGTCTGAAGATAGACTAACCATTTTATTCTGTGCAAATATGGCCGGTGAAAAATGCGATTTGATTGTGATCGGGAAAGCGGCTCGTCCCCGTGCTTTAAAAGACGTTGCTATTAAGGATCTACCAGCGACTTGGAAATCCAACAAAAAGGCATGGATGACCCGAGAAATCATGTCTGAGTGGTTAGTCGAATTCGACCGGAAAATGAGAATCCAAAAAAGGCAAGTTCTTTTATTTTTAGACAATGCATGCTCTCATCCTCGTGATATGAAAATGAAAAATGTGAAAATTATATTTTTACCGCCAAACACAACTTCTGTTTGTCAGCCCATGGATCAAGGTGTCATACAGAACTTTAAATTTTATTATCGGCACTTGATTTTAAAACATATTTTAACAAAAATTGACGATGGTCAAAGCTTATCTGAGCTTACAAAGTCTATCAATGTGTTAGAAGCTTTGTATTTTATAAAAACAGCATGGAATAAAGTAAATTCCTCTACAATTAAAAACTGTTTTGGCAAAGCTGGATTCAGAAAAAGTGAATGTAGCTCAGAATTTGCTGAGCAAAATTATTGCGATGCTGAAGACGATCTGCCCTTAGCGACACTTGCTCAGTTACTGCGACATGCCAAACATTTAGGAGTAGCAGATCCCCAGAAAGTAGATGATTTCCTGGCCATAGACAATAACATAACAACAGAAGAAAATGCCATTGGCAACTTTTCGAATTTGGATGTAGAAAGCCCAGGCCAACTTGAATATGGTAGTCCAAACGACTCAGAAGAAGAAGTGGAACTGGTGGACTCACTAAGCGGTTCAAAAACGATAAATTCATATGGGGAAGCTCTAAATCATATTTCTATATTGAAAAAATTTGCTAAAGATGATTTCACTGCATTTCAACATTTGAAAAATTTAGAAAGCTATTACGAAAATTGTCTCCTTCAGCAAAAGATGGTGAAATTTCGTCAGACAAACATTTTAAACTTTTTTCAACAAGCTAAAGAATAATGTTTTATTTAAATTCTCGTACCATGTATTGAAGCATTTATGTTTTTGTATGCGTATATGTACATATATTATATAGATATATAGCATAAATACATACTTTAAAAATGTGGCGAGTTTCTGTTTCATTTTTCTCATGATTATAATACCTCATTTCCTCATGATTATATACCCCGTTATTTATACTCTATACTTACATACTCTCTTTTAAACGGACACCTCCCATAAGCGGACAAAAGTTACGGAACCGTGAGTGTCCGCTTATGGGACCTTTCACTGTATATACACATAAATACAAACACACATATATACAGTGTGTCCGCAAAGTTAGGGTCTTCCTTTACACGACGTGTAGATCTTGAAAACATAAGCAATTTTTCTTAGTACCATATACACCAATGTCTTAAGGGAACCGAGATAAAGGGCTCTGCAACATCAAAAATATCTGAATACCGTCCTGTAGCCGCGACATCACCGACTGGTACAAGGTCACTGTCTCAACCCGACGACAGAACTGGGTCGGGGTCAGTGTGTCAGGTCAGTACGCAACCTTCAACCGACGGTTACGGTCACGCGTGTAGAGGTAATCGCGTAGACGAGAATCCCTCAACAAGCACTAAAGACGTGGCTAGAGAAGTGCAAGTATCAAAAACTAAAGTGTGGCAAACGCTGCGTGAAGAGGGGCTGTATCCGTTTCACGTCCAACGTGTACAAGCCCTTCAGCCTGACGATTTTCCAGCAAGAGTGCGGTTTTGTGAGTGGTTGTTGCATCTACATGACAATAACCCGGACTTTTTGTAGTGCATATTGGTGACAGACGAATCTACGTTCACGCGTAATATGGTGAATAACTTTCGCAACACTCATGTTTGGTCAGTAGAAAATCCGCACGCTGTCCGTCGGGCACATTTTCAACAAACATTTTCGGTGAATGTTTGGGCTGGCATGGTGAACGGTATGCTCATTGGACCATTTATTCTCCCAAATCGATTTCACGGAATGCAATACCTAGACTTTTTACGCAACATTTTGCCTTCCTTGTTAGAAGATGTGCCATTAAGTGTAAGACAATCAATGTGGTTTCTGCGTCTGCTCGGTAGCGCATCAGCTGCTTTGATTTTCTGTTGGAGCGGTATGATTTCGGGCAGAGACGTACTTAGCCGTTCTCGTCAACTGGAGAGTGAGTACTTCTTCCTTTATTTATTATATATTATTATTTTTTGCTTGGTCGCCCTCGTTTCACTACACATTGCCTTTGTTATTTCAAGAGTAGTTGTTTCTGAAAAGGAAAACCCCAACTTTGCGGACACCCTATATATATGTGTGTATATATATATATATATACAGGGTGTCCGCAAAGTTGGGGTTTTCCTTTTCAGAAACAACTACCCTTGAAATAACAAAGGTAATGTGTAGTGAAACGAGGGCGACCAAGTAAAAAAAAATAAAGGAAAAAGTACTCACTCTCCAGTTGACGAGAAGGGCTAAGTACGTCTCTGCCCGAAATCATACCGCTCCACCAGAAAATGAAATCAGCTGATGCGCTACCGAGCAGACGCACCATGCCAGCCCAAACAATCACCGAAAATGTTTGTTGAAAATGTGCCCGACGGACAGCGTGCGGATTTTCTACTGACCAAACATGAGTGTTGCGAAAGTTATTCACCCCATTACGCGTGAACGTAGATTCGTCTGTCACCAATATGCACTTCAAAAAGTCCGGATTATTGTCATGTTGATGCAACAACCACTCACAAAACCGCACTCTTGCTGGAAAATCGTCAGGTTGAAGGGCTTGTACACGTTGGACGTGAAACGGGTACAGCCCCTCTTCACGCAGCGTTTGCCACACTTTAGTTTTTGATACTTGCACTTCTCTAGCCACGTCTCTAGTGCTTGTTGAGGGATTCTCGTCTACGCAATTACCTCGCGTGACCGTAGCCGTCGGTTGAAGGTTGCATACTGACCTGACACACTGACCCCAACCCCCGACCCAGTTCTGTCGTTGAGCCAGTGACATTGTACCACTCCGTGATGTCGCGGCTACAGGACGGTATTCAGATATTTTTGATGTTGCAGAGCTCTTTATCTTGGTTAACTTAAGACATTGGTGTAAAAGGTACTAAGAAAAATTGCTTATGTTTTCAAGATCTACACGTCGTGTAAAGGAAAACCCCAACGTTGCGGACACCCTGTATATATATATATATATACATACATATATAAACACAAAGATCTACCTTAGACAGCCTCGATTTTAAAATTTCTTTTTCATTAGTTTGGTCGCTTGTGACTCATTTACATTAATGTGCGCTGAGGTGTTTTTCAAAAATAATGTTTTTATATTTGATTTTAAACTGGTTTGGATGCAGAATTTTAGAGTCATTAGGAATCTGATTGTAAAGCCGGTCAATGTTGTATGAGGAAGGTCTACAAAAAAGGGAAGTTTGGTGAGGAGGAGGTAATATGTAGCCCCGAAACCGCAAATTTAAGTTATGAATATCGGTGCGAAAAGTTATTCTATTGAATAAATATGGCGGTTGCTTAAAAAACATAATTTTGTGAAAAAGATTGCATGCATGCCACTCACATCGACATCGCATATTCAACCAGTTTGAATCAAGCAACTTACGTGAAACTCTTTCAACCTTACGTATACCATAAATATGTCGTAGGCAGGACTTCTGTACACGTTCAATTCTATCCATGTCAATCTTGTCTAAACAAAACCCACAAATGCTGTTACAAAAATTAAAATGGCTGAGTACTAGTACTTGTCAAAGCAATATTTTAAGTTTAACAGGGAGGACATATCGATGAGCATATAGAACTTTTAGAGAAGCTTAAGCTTTCTGGATACATTTATTAATATGAGGTTTAAATCTTAGAGTCAAATTCTACTCTCAAATTTCTCACAGTGGCAGAACAAGGTTTAGATTCACCTTTTATTTTGACATGAAAAGTGGGCTCATTAATCTGTAGACCATGATTTTCCAAAAATACAACTGATCTTTCAATATCTCGATTAATAATGGCCCATGCATCACGTTTCTCGATAGGATTGAAAGAAAAATAAAGTTGAGTATCGTCAGCATACAAATGTACCTGACAACTTCGAAGACATTGGGAAAGGTTTGAGGTATAGATACTAAAAATCGGAGGTCTTAAAATGGAGCCTTGTGGAATACCCGATGAGATGACATCTTTGAAGAAATACCTTTATCTGTTTCTACATATTGTGTTCTGTTAGTTACATAGTTGCACATGAACGTCCAGCAGATTCGGAAAACCATATGGGGGAGCCACCTTTTCGTTGGGCCACCCTGTATAAAATTTGCCAAGAATACAATTATCTAGAAATGTGGTTCAGTTAATTTTATTCTTTGAGTCACTATTTATGAGATTTAGTGATCTGTGGACACTCAGGTACTCTTTCGCTCTTATACGGCATATTATATTACGGGCAACCATCGACCGTTTGATATGAACATACATATAAACACTGGTGTCTGCGATTTATATCTATGTATATACCACTTATACAGGGTGTTTCAAAAAAAGTATGGGTGATTCTTCTAAAGATTCATTCCATGAGCAACCGAAGCATTGATCCGTCACCATTCAAATATAAGTCTATTTAAGGTGCACTCAAAACGAATGAAGTGGAAGTCGTATTTTAGTAAATAATTCGTAAACACTTGAAAATTTCTTCAAGCCTTCGATATATTGCAATCAATTTATAAAAAGTCCCCATCGATCCTTAAGTACGCAGGATTTTCTATTGGAGGTAACATGTCAAAATTACCATTTTTTATATGTCTCTGGAACGGTACGAGTAATAACAAAAATAGCTGTGTCAAAATTGTAGATAGTTCGATTCTCTATTAAAGTTGATCAACTCTTTTTTCGCTTATGCGTGATTTATGGGACCTAAGCTACTTATAGCGCACGTACGCGACATGTTTCATCGATCGTTAGATATGGTCTGAGAAGATAACAGCGATATGTGCGACTCGTACTGATATATACATTTCACTTATACGGGGTGTTTCAGAAAGAATAAACGTACTTGCACAACTTTACCAGATAATTGTGTTCTCTGCAATTTTTGTATGAGGTATTTTTGTGGTAACCTAATTCTTATTTTAACTGTATCATTAACTAATACATGATTTGTAATTAACACACCTGTCACACTCATAAAAACAATATATTTGTCGTCTTAGCTACAATGACAGGTCGTCAAAATGAAAACAGGACTGCAAACTTCACTCCAGCAGCAACTCCAAATTGAATGCACCATCAGTGCACAGTCATCCACACAGCACCGGATACACCCTGAACTTCCGACGGCTCCTGTTCGACGCCCTCTTACTTTTCTTGCCTAGGTAATTTCCTGCAGGAGCAGCTTTAGTCTCCGCTCCTGCTGGCAGCACAACTCCCTCAAGTCTCGCAACTCCCTCGGTCGTCGCTCCCCATAAATCTCTTCTATCTGGCGGAGCCTCAGACGACGGCGGCGGAGCATTCGGTCGTCGTCCGGGCAGCAACTCCGTGGAAACGTTTAACGCTCTTTGCGGAAATGTCCGGGATGTCGTTAGCAGGATCAGGAATATCAGCCGGATAATCTGACGAACATGCTGGAACGAAAACCTTATTACTTCATACACCGTTTATATGCAGATGCAAGTTGATTGCCAGATACTTGGGAAAAATAGCGCTTTCTAGGCGATTTTTGGTTGGTGCATGAAATGCAGGTTCGGAACTTTTAATATTGGACAAGCACTTATAGAGTTACTGGTATTCCTTCCAGGACGTCTTACGAGACCTAAGATGCCACAAATTTCACGTTATATACGAGAGCCATTATTAAATTGAAAAGCGATTCCTGCCACGTGACGTCCATTTAACCTCAAACACTAGTCAGTACTCCGCCATTACGTTTAGGGTTGCCGCGGTTGTACTGTCTTGTTTGTCGGCATGTCACTCAACAAGCCCGTTGATTGTGGATTGCGCTCAGTAATTCGGTTTCTAAGGAAGTTCTTCCTACTAGAAATGCTTAGATGTGGCTTGAAACATTATTGAAGCTTAGACGCGCTATTCAAAACCGCTGGTGGGGCCTGAACTCAAGAAGCGTAATTTTGCTTCACGGCAATGCGCGGCCTCACGTTGAGGCAAGAGCACAGAAGCAACTGGACAAGTTGCGTGGGGAATTTTTGTAATAATAATTTTTATTGTCACAGAGTACACGTAAACATTCAATTAAAAATAAAAACTAAAAGTACGATCAATGTTTGAAAAAGGTGAATACAGTATAATTTGGTGAATTTAATTATTATGGGGGAAATATCCAGACAATTAATTATAACTGATGTATGGTTTGTTCGTACAGCCTGTTTGCTGACAATCAGAAAACTGATAGACAGCGACAAGTCATGACCCAGTTTACGCAGTTAGCTGTCACTGACAAGTCGCTGACGATATTCATTGCATACATGAGAACGTTACGAGTTGGCTGAGCGAGGTAAGACCGATTACCGACAAGTAATCCGCTGTTCGTACAGAAACTTCTGACTGTTTGATGACTGTCATATTAGTCAGCAGATAATTTGCTAGTAAATTGTCAGAGCTTGGAATCAAGTACAATCATTATTCGAATGTAAAATTTTTCAGAATGAATTAGACAATTTTGGAAAAGTTGGGGTATGTTCATTTGCTGTAAATCAGAATGATCTAGGATTTTTCGTCCAACTGCCCGAATGTGCCCGAATTTTCCTCTAGAGATGAAAACATGGACATTTTCGAGGAAAAATAACAGCACTCAAAAGTGTCAAGTAGACTTACTCAGTAATTCCCATTCAATTCTCATATAAAAAGAATAAGCATAAATACGAAGAAATATTATTCCACACATCGAATGACAAGTTGAAGAAATAAATACATAGTAAAAATTCTGAATAAATGTCTGCAGTGATTATGCATAAAAAATGTGCAAAGTATTGTGAATGACATTTAATAAAACTCGGATAGTAGGGTGTTTGTTCCCTGTTCTCTTGTCGCCCAGCCTCGAAGTGTATGCACAAACAGGATTTATATATTCTACCTATGTAAGTCTAATCCAAAGCTGATGAAAAAATAAACAAAATAACGAATTCTGGAGATTTTGTGCTACAGATTATCTCACGGATGCCCACGGACAGGGAGTGACTGTTTGTGCTGGGGTGAAAATAGTATTTTCCCTATACAGGGTATTTTAAATTCGACCCTCACCATTGGGATCTTGGAAACTTCAAGGGATACGAAGTCACTTAAATATCTGCAAAGTTGCGTATTCAGATAATCAGCAAAATGTCGCTTAAAAAGCTTGTAAATTGAGAGTACTCCCGGAAAGAGACGTAGAAAGCTAAATTTTCCAAAATGGTTTTCATTTTCTCCTGACTTTATTTGTGGATTACAATTTAAACTGCATATAAACTCTGCCAATTTTTTTTTTGTACTCCAACTACCACGAAGGCCTAAGGCCTAAATACCCATTGGGTACCGTGGGGCTATAGGGGGAAAGGGGGAACGCCACACGGACTCTGGCGAGGGAACACGTGTGCATGCAACATGCACACATTCTGGCTCCGCCTACGAGATCCGCCGGGTGGTACCTCCATGTTCGACAGTCAGAGACCGTCTACCTCCTACGGACAATCACAACATCTATAGCCAAGAGAAAAATTTCTCCTGGGACGCAACTCGAACCCGCACAGCGCACGGCGACTGGTCAGGAGACCGAAGAGTCTACTACTGCGGCCACCGCTGCTGCCTAAATTTTCTCCTCTACAAGACGGCAGAATTAGAAATTCAATGTGACGTTTCGTCTCTTGTCCTCCAGCGTCAACTTAATTTTTTCTTATAGACGCCATATTGGATTCTTACACACATGAATAGATTTTTTATTCTAATTTAAAAAATGTATGTCATACATTGACATTGCAAGACCTCAGTGATTCCAGAAGTTCCTAGGTATATAGTTCTTAAAAGTTATGTCCTCTATCGTTCGGATTTTTCATACTGTATTCATGATCTTCATTTTGCCATTACCGGGTCAATAAACAAAATATTAAGCACAAAGCACTTTAGCGCTGGCTGTTATTTAAAATGGAATTTCATTAAACTTCCTTCTGCAACTTGCTCACCTGAACATGATACAAAAACTTGTTTCTGTTGAATTGTGGCCCTGTTTTCTCTAAAAGATTAAGGTTTTTGAGTTTCATTTTTTTACACCAGAGCAGCCGCGCAGGTAAACCCTACATACCAAGGCACCGCGGCAGCTTTCAGGAGCTTGAAGGAACTTTGTTATTCCCATTTTTGAACTGCCTAAGGTTAGTAGAACTGTAGATTGTTACAAGGACAAAGGAGCGGTTTTATCGGCCAGTTCTGGACGCACGAAGTTCGACACGCTTACGATAGGAGGCCGAAGTCAGGTAGGCACATCGCGGGGCGACACCATGAACGAGAGCTCTGAGGAGCAACGCCCGTTGGCGTAGCTAGATCGCCAACGGCCCGTTGGTACGAAGGTGTCCTCAGACCGTCCATTAGAGAAAAGTTCATTAAATGCCTCTTGCGAAGCAATTTTAGCCCTCAAGATAGTTCCGATACACTCTGATACCTGTCACTGTCACTGGTTGACTGGTGTCCTCTGATCTGTCAGAAGGTTCTGTACGAACAGCGGATTAGCTGTCGGCAAACAGTCAGAAACTGTACGAGCAGCTAACATCTCTCTGATTCTGATTTTGACAGTCACCGACAAGTTACCGACTACTGTACGAAGAAACCAATAGAAGTATGGGTGTTAATGTAAGTAAAATATTATTGATTTTGATAATGATTTTTCACATCTACAATTTCGTGGATGGAGCATCTTGGTTGTTGTAAAATCCATTTTTTGAGTTTTCTTTTAAATGATCTAATTGATTTAATTACTCTTAATGACTCTGGTATGGAATTCTGGTCCCAACGAAAACAGAGATCGTTCTGTAATGGTTTTTGATGTTTATGGAATACACATTGAATTTTGATTGAATCTTGTTCGGTAGTTATGAATGATATGATTCAACTACGAACATTTAATATAATGTATTAGTATTAGAACACAACAAAAAATAAATTTGTCTGCAATCTAATAGTTGAGCCTCGATATATAGAGAATGACTTGAATACTTGAATAAGTAATCTCCATATGGAGGATCAATTTTAGAATTAATTTTTGGATTACATCAACCTTTTTGAAATTATCATTCATAGCTTCCACCAAGCCAATAGAGGATAAACAAAAGCATAATAAAGATTATATAGATATTCCTTATCCAGAATATCTCCCAACTAGCAAAGTAGTGGTATAAGCTTTTGGTAAAAGAACCGTTCAGCCATAAAAGCTCTCTACTGTTGTTGCCTGAACACAACAATGCTGGCTTAATGTTGTGTGGAATGCAGACTTGCTTTCTGCAACATATTTGCTCTAAAATGAAGTGTTTAAAATATTCTTATAGCATAGTTATACACCACCTTACCGGGCAAATTTTTAACTGTTGCATAAACGTTTATACAACTATTTTATACGGCATATTTGCACGTTAGTCAAAATGGTTATGTTGTGGCATCCATGGTAACGTTTATAAAACAAACCCGAGCCTTGTTGTTTTGCTGTGCAATTTTCTACTTTAGCCAACAAATTGCTCCCAGCTCCCAACGGAAGCACTTATACAACTGTTGTTTAGTAACTGTTAAAGGCTGTACATATGCTAAATATGTTGGTAAACAACTTCACCATAACCTAACTTTCTGCTGTCATATTTTTGTAAAATGCTAAAATACCATAATCAATGTTTTAAGACAAACAACGCATGCATATTGGTTCAAAAGGTTTTATCAACTGTTCAAACAGAAGATATAGATCTGGTAAATTCTGGGTAAATCATTCGCCTCTGTCGGTATCTCATTTTAGACATTTGTCAAATTGTTGTATAACACCTGCAGGCAAGACCAAAATATTCTAATAACCTAAAGACAACATCGACGATGCCATGATTGTACACAACCACCCGCCATATTGGGCAAACATTTATTCCTCTATTTAATATTAAATAATTATGTTTCAGTTCGAAATTACAGATATAAAGTAATAAACATTAGTGTAATTGTGTCTAAATATAGGATTTGTGGAAGATTTAACGCAGATAAGTTCAGTTCTCCATCTTAAAAATCTAGACATACTTTTGATCATTGTCAAAATATGAATCAAATACGTAGCCCGTAGAAATTGGGTAACTAATTTGCACGATAATCACAATAAAATTCGCTGCGCAAGTAATTCAATAGCCCTATATCACAGTGTAGAAGTCTATCATATACCTGTGTATGAAATTCACAATGGCCGATATGTAAGTAAACAAGATGACAGTAATGTGTTAGTTATATATTCTTCACTTCGTCTATACAATACATCAGAAATATTTTGGTTGCAATAAAGTAGAATCACGTAACAGAACAGTTGTATAGTTGACAAAAACTGAATCTTGCACTGACGCAAATTTCCTATAGCGGCTGCAAGAGGCTTACGCTTTTGTTTTATAACTGTTACCTGCAGCCCTTA